GGCATTCAAGGAGGACGTGCCCCCATCTTGCAGTTGGGGCTAAGTCCAGGGATGGGGGGATTTACCCTGCATCCCTGCAAGTCAGAGGCAATGCTGGGCTGGGACCCAAGGCTATGGGACCCCAGAGGCTCAGGGAGCCCCCGGGAGGGATCAAGCTGGGGTCTGGAGCATCTGCAGGTGGCTGTGGAGCTCCAACCAGACCAACACCCAGAGCACAAGCTTCCCCGGCACCAGGGGTCTGCGGGCCCCAAGGCCCTTAGGAGGCCAGCAGGGCAGAGATGGAAGACAGGCTCCTTCTGAGGCAGGTTATGCCCCGCAGGCTAGAGGCCAACAGGGAGAGGGCTCAGGAGGCAGCTGCAGCCCAGAGCTGGCTTCTGGGGGTCCTGGAGCCTCATTGCCTGCCCGAGCCCCGGGCCAGGGTCCCCAGGGGCCCCCTGTTCCTGTCCTGTGCAGGCCCCTCTCCCAGTCCCCTCAGGCAGGTGGCAGCTGCACGCCCGCTGCTCCACGCCCGGCCCAGCACCCCAGGGACCGCACGAGCCAGAAATGTCTGTGGCTCAAAGGAGGCCGGGAGGCACGTTGATCTAAATGAAGGGCCGTTTCTTCCTTCCAGAATAGCTGGGCCCGTGGCACCTCCGAGGAGCTTGGAGCTGGCTGGCCAGTCGTGGCATGCGGAGTTAGTAATTAATAAAAATGAGTAATGATGGACCATCTGTCCCAGCCTGTGCTCCATGGCGGGGCAACGCCGAGCCCTCATTAGGCATTCCTCGGCTGTGTCCCCACAGATGTTGACAGTGGCCATGGGGCTCCCGTGGGAAGACGGGGTTGAATAAATTTAGGCAAACAGCATGGAGAAGGCTGGGTCTCGGTGAAGGAACTCACGCGGGGTCAGCCTGAGTGAGACCCATGGGCAGGGGTCCGCCGTCTGTCCTCCACCCGGGAAGGTGGGATGGGGTGCAGACTGCGCGTGGGGGGGGGCCTGGCCTCACCTGCTCCCTGCACGACCTTGGGCGAGCGCCGGACCGCTCCGAGCCTCCACTCCAGGCTGCGGGGAGCAGGGCAGGGCCCCAGGACAGGGGTCAGAGTGTGTGTGGGAAGCACAGGGATCAGGGATCAGGTCCCCCCCCAGCCTTTCATTTGCTCACGTGCAAAGGAGGCCGCTGTCCGTGGAGTCTAGCTGGTGACCAGTGGACAGAAGGGGCCTTGTGTCTTGGAACACTTGGAACGTGCTGGTCAGGGCTTACTCTCCTTGACAAGCTGGCCACCCCTGTGCTCCTGCCAGAGACCCTCACCCCTGGAAAAGGCCTGCAGGCCAGGAGCTACTCCTTGCCCTGGGGGAGTCCACCAGCAGGAGACGGGGCTGGGCACCCTGGATGCCCACGGCTTGCAGCCCAGTGAGCGTCAGGCAAGCAAAGAGGGAGCTGCAGGGAAATCGGGGTTCAGCATGGGCGGAGGTTCGGGAAAGGAAGCGCCCCCAGAGGTCTGGGGCGGCAGGGAGCCTGGGCAGACGCAGGGGCAGGGTTTGCCCTCTTGGAACCCCAAAGCTTTGGACTCTGCGGTGTGTCACAGCTCCCCAAGCTGGCTCCCCTCTGGACAAGTGGCCAAATGCCCCAGGGTGGGGCCCTCCCACGCAGGGCAAGGGGAGCTGGCCTTGAATACGCACAGAGAGGAACACTGAGACGCAGAGCCAGGCGGCCTGCCCAAGGTCACGCAGCCAGAGCAGTGGAGCCTGACTCCCTCCAGGCAGAGGGAAGCCCCAGCTCACCCTGACCCTGACCTCGAAGGTCTTCCCGCCCCCTTCCCCACCCCCTCCGCAGCTTCCAGATCCGAATTCTCCGTATCTCTGCCCCTCGTCCCCTATTTCCCTCCGGTGTCTCTACTGCATTGTGAGAGTGAATCTCTCAAGATGGACCTCATCTTAGAGGTAAACACTCCGGTCTCCCCTGCGGACGTGGGTATTGGACACAGACCACAGCAGAGGATCTCTGCCTGCTCAGCAGCTCTTTGCGTTTGCTGTCCTGTCAGCTGACCCCACCCCTCCTGGTGAGTGCACCCACCCACCTGTGTCTCCCCGGTCCCAAGGGACAGCTAGCTGAGCAGGCCCTGGCCGCGGGCCCATGACATCGGACCCCAGGTGTCTCTCGTTACCCACCTGGGTAACCCAAAGTCTGCCTGGCTCACCCCCAGGGAACCCAAGCCCCCAGCTTTGTCCCCACACAATGGAGCACCCGCCCAGAAAGTGGAATCAGAGGACGTGTTTGTCCCAGGGGCAGTCAGCCTGGCCGGACCCTCGGTGCCCATGGAGGTCAGAAGGGAAACTGAGGCCCAGGGGAAGCCAGCCCTTCCATGCAGAATGGGGTCAGAGTGGAGACAGGAACCCAGGCCAGGGGTCTTTCCCGCCCGGGGTCTCCTGCCAGCCTCACTGCAGTGGAGGTAAAGCCCCCTCGGGCAGGGGTCGAGGGTGCAGGGAGCCTGGAAAGCTCTGGAGGTGCTCAAGGGCAAGGGGGTGGAGAGGAGCGTGAGTATTCATGAGTCCTATGAATATTCATAGCAATCTCCTACCACTGATAAGGGAGAAGCCGGGCTGGGAGGGAGAATCCATTACTCACTTGTCTGGCCACCCTGGGGCCAGAACCTGGACCGTGGCCCTGGGCCTTGCAGGCCATCCACCAGCAGGCCCAGCAGGGACCCCTCTCCAAAGGTTGACAAGGAGCAGGGGCCAGCGAGGGCCTGGCCAGGGTGAGAGGGCCACATGGCCTCTCCCTGCCATGGACGTGGGCTTGGTCTGGCTCCTCCGGGTAATTGGCAAGCAGCCAGAAGGAGCTGGGAAGAGGCTGCAGCTGCTGGAAACAGGAGCCCCTGGGGGCTGATGAGGACAAGACTAATGTCAGGGGTGGAGGGAGCCCAGAGAAGGAAAGCGAGGACGGCTCAGAGAGGGTCAGTAACTCGCCCGAGGTCACACAGCAAAACCATGAGGCAGTCCAGGGCTCCATTCTGTGAGTGTACAAGTGTGGGTGGGGGCTCTGGTATGCAGGAGGGTGACACCTGAGCTGGTTCCTACCCTAGGACAGGTGTGTGATTCTTCCCGCACTTAGTAGGCCCTCAATTTGTATATATCCAATGAATGAATGATCCACAGCTCCACGTGTGTCTGTATTTTAAAGGGAGAACCGAGTCTCAGAGGAAGGGCCCCCATCCCAGGTTATGCTGGAGGGCACGATGGGTCAGCCCCTATCTCACTGGGTTATGCCTGCAGGGTAGACACGGATCTTTTTGGAAAACCACCGTCTTTGGCGATCCTGAGCCGTTAGGAGCGGGGAAGACTCCGCCAGCAGCCCCGCCTCTCTGTGACCTCAATCCCTTCTAATACACGGAGCTGAGAAATGTGTGCAGGTGATACTCACCTGCAGGAAAACAGAAGACTCAGGAGACCAGGGGCCGTTGAGAGCGGAGGGCGGCAGGGCTGGGCTGAGACAGGACAGGGCAGATGGATAGGAGGGTCCCAAGGCCAAGGGAGGCCTGAGTCTCTGGAGCAAATCCCGAGGCTGAAAGGGTGCGCACACATGCCCATCTGCATGGTGACAAAGCAGGCAGGACACCACGTTGATAGGAAATCAAATGAGGAGGCTGACAGTTTGTGGGGGACTAAAATAATCATAAATGATGGCTTTTATTAAAAAGTATCACCGGGAAAATGTAGGCTCATTCCAGAAGCCCAAAAAGAGCCCAAAATGTAATAAGGGGGAAGAGAGGAGATGGGGAATGGAAAATTAAAATCATGAAAACAGCCCAAGAAAATCTTCTGGTATCTGCTGGCGGTGGCGGGAGGGAAGGAGGGAAGGAAGGAGGAAGGGAGGGTGTCATGTAGTGTGAAGTGATAGACGTTATTCCGCAGCCGAAACAGCACAAGGGTGGGAGAAAGAGGGACAGATAATCTCTCATGGAGGCATGATGGATGTTCCTGCTGCGGACAAGGGGGCCAGGCCAGCTGCGGGCCCAGCAGGAGCCCAGGTCCCCCGGAGAGTGGGGACAGCCTCTGGTGGCCCTGGGCAGCCTAAGTTACACAGTGTCTGGGCCTGAAGGGCCTGGGGCTCGTGAAATCCAATCTGGATGAGAGAAGGGAAACAGGCCCAGAGAGGGGAGGCAGGGGCCCAGAGTCACACAGCAATCCAGGGTCAGGGAGAGGCAGGAACATGGGCCTCCCCGGGGACAGGGGAGGTGGGGACGGAGCAGCAGCTGGACCCCCAGATCTAGGCCTCCCTCAGGGAGGAGTCGGGAGACCTCGCTACCTCCTACCAGCTCCTGCCAAAACGGCGGCCGCAGCAGCCCCCCATCCCCACAGGGGTACGGGCTGGGGATCCAGTCTGGGTGTGAATCCACTCCCCCCAGGAAAGTCCCCCGGCGCACAAGTCCCGTCAGGACGTGGAAGGTGGCCGGCGCGCAGTGCCAGGCACAGGGCAGGGGTCCCCTCTACATCCACGGCTGGCCCTGGAGCTTCTGGTGCCATGTCATTCAGGGGGCTCTACCTGGGGTTCCCTCCTGTGAAGCAGGGGATGCTAACCCCTGACGTGTCTAAAGACAAAATAAAGAGAACCCAGAATCTCTCAGGTCAGTGGTCATCTACCCTGTCTTTGCCTGGAATCAGAAATAATCGACTTGCAAGTTCTGGCTAAGGTGGCAGGGTGGCAGGAAGGAGCGACGTGGCCCGGGCTCAGGGGCGTCTGGGCCTATTGAACCCCTCTGGACCTTGGGAGATGGGAGGCAGTCGGAACATCACCCCCCTCCCTGCCAGGGGCTGCGGGGGCAGCTGGTCAGCCAGCACCAGGACAGGCAGGCGACAGGGGCGGTCCAGCCAGCCCCACCCTGGGCCCACAGTGACCCTGGGCCACCCGGCTCAGCGGCACACCTGAGACTCCTGCACGGCAGGTGGGGAGAGACAGGAAGACGGGAAGGTGGAGGCTAGGCCTGGAGAAGCAAGGAGAGAGCCAGAGGCAGAGACGCCAGGACCCCTCCCCGGACTCCACCTCCCAGGACCCCTGCTCTCCCAGGGTCCCTCCGGGCGCCGCTGTCCTCCCACCCCTGGGCCCCCTGCCTCCCTGGGCAGGGTGCTCCTTGGTGCATCCTCCCCGCACCCCTCTGCTCTGTAATTAGAGGCTATCTCAACCCCCTTTCAGGAAAGTTTGGGAGGAATAGGAGCAAACCCCCTTCCGCAGCCTCCGAGCCACTTTGATCAGAGCGGGGGAGAGGCCACGCCCCCTCTCCACTTGGGAGGGAAGCAGGCTGGGTTTTGATGCTCTGGGAACCCCAGTTGCTACCCACAGTCCTCTCCCTCTGCTGCAGGGGAAAGGGTTTGGGGTCCATGCCGACCACGGGATGCAGGGCGGGGAGCTGTGCTGCAGTCACAGCCTTGGGCTCCTCCAGGAAATGGGGGTGGTCAGAACCGGCCCCTCAGGGGCTGTGAGGACAAGACGGAACTGCCCGCCCGACCACCACGGCCAGGACCTGCCTGCTGCGGGGAGCTGTCGGGGAACCCCAGGGAGAGAAGAGTGTCCCAGACACCCCCCTTCAGCCATCCTGGGTCTATGTGGGCCCCCTGATGGGAGGGTGCAGGGCACCCAAGTCCCCCAGCCAGGTCTCGGGACCCCAAGTCCAGGATCCTTTCGGGGCTTGGGGATTCACGAGGCAGTTGTCTCCTAGGGCCCGACCCCGGGAGGCTGCGCCCATCCCCCGCTGGCTGCAGACGTCTCTGTGGGGTCTGCAGGCTGTTGGCTGCGAAGGACGGACGGGGAGGGCCCATGCTTGGAGACTGCACAGGGGGCCTGGAAGGGCGGTGACCATGACCGGGACCAGCAGCATCTCCTGGGCGCTTTGTAAGGATGGGGGCGTGACTGCCTGAAGGGTTCAGGGTGGGGTTTTGGTTTCTCGAGGAAGTTGAGGTGGATTTCCACACGACTAAGTTTTCCCTCTGAAATTGGTTAAAGGCCTTCCTGGGTTTGGGAAACAAGGAGGCGAAGGAGGAAGGAGACAGAACCAGGCCCTGGGAATGAGGCTCAGCCAGCAAGAGAGACCAAGCAGGTGGGCGCCCTGCTCAGGGGAGCTGAGAGGCTGCGCCGGCCCAGCTGTCACAGCTCCTGAGCCCCTGCGTTCGGGACACCGGAGAAACCACTGCGATCAGCCCTCAGCCACTGACGGCCTGGACCCCTCCTCCCAAGCGCTGGAGGAATTTTTCAACAGATGCAAATGACTTTCTTGGGGGGAGGGGAGCAAAGCCTCCTTCCCCCCCTAGAGATGCCTGGAATCCTGAACTGGCCCGGGGCCCCAGCACGGCCCTCACACGCCTCTCCCCATGACTGGCGGCCGCCCCAGTGCCAGCCCCCACCCTGGGCCCCATCCATCTAACCCAGGAAGGCCAGGGCAGACAAGGCAACGAGCCACCGGAAGGATGCAGAGGAGGGAAGCTGGCCCGCAGTGCAGGATGGGCTTTGTTCGTCCTGAGCAGAGGTGGTGGCCCGTGAGATTGCCTTTAAGACTTTTCTCCATAAAAATACAGAAATTAATATTTTAATTATAAATTATAACTATATAATTATAAATTAATAATAAAACCACATGGTAGGAATATGAAGAGTTATAGTTGTTAGGAAAAGCTCATTAACCACAATTTGTTATTTATTTGGAGGTATTTATGAGAGAAAGTATAACTCAAAAAGAACATAGTTGAAAAAATAAAAGTTATATTTATAGTATCTTATTACAGTGAATATGGATAGTGCTATATTATAAATTTTAAAAATTTGTCTTAAATACCAACCTTTCCTATAGATAATTTTATAAAAATGTTATAAAGTTGCTCTAATCTGCTTTAATTTATAATAATAAATATACTTTGCTCAAAGTAGAAGAAATTGAATTACAGATACAAGGATATTCCATGATACCAAAATGTACTCTTAGATATAAATTTAAGACAAAGTCTTATCAGTTCTTTTATTTTTAATAACTTCTGATTATATGTTAAATATTTTGGGGGTCATGGTTAAGTGAGGATGATTAAAATTTTATAAAAATTAGAATTTGATTTCAAGACTAATCACATTAAATCAAATAAAATAGAACAGTTTCTGAAGTAAAATTGATACCTGTTTATGCCTGTGAGGCTGTGGGAGGTTTCAACTCTTTTAGAACAGTAAATTATAGTCACTACTAATGAACTATTTTAGATTAGTTTGTATAAAATCAGGGTACAGGTAATACCTCTAGTTATGATTTTATCATGGCAGTAACTGTCAAAATACCTTGAGTTCAACATTTCTATTAACACTGACTTCACATCTGCCCTGACATGCCTTGACTGCAACAACTAAAAAATTTTCATTCTTGCAAGGCACCATCACATAACTTGCCCTTCATCTGCCAAAAAATACATCACTTACAATTTTTAAAATTATTCTGTATTATTTAAAATAGTTTCTTACTCTGCCACAATATATTTTGTCAAATCAATATCTCATGTTATTTAAAAATTAAAGGGACAAATACCTATTCTTAAATAATGTTCTTCAGTCATATAGGAATTGTCACGCTATAAGAGAAAAATTCAATTTAACCACACAAATGTAAAACTATTGTAATTTTGACATTATGTCATGTCAACCTAAAGGTATCAGACATGCTGGCCTTTACCAACACCTTAAGTATTAAATGTTATCTCTTTAGGGAACTCACTTTGCTTCAAACCAAGCACTGATATCCCATTCTAGAATATCTTAAATGGAGGTCATCAACTCGATCCAAAATATACTCATATTTATTTTGCCCCCTCCACGTGACACCGAAGCCCCCCCCCATGCCTAGCATTGCCCGAGGGTCGATTAGGATGTCTGGAGTTGATTAGACTCTGACACTGATGAAACCCAGAGGTAATTAGTGAAAGAAAAAAAAGTTTTGATTAGTCCTCAGCATAATTCTCTCCAATTATTCAAAGTTCATGCCTGCAGGGGGTGGAATATCTCCAGGAATATTTATTTATATCCCGATTTTTTTCATCAACTTTGTGAATCTAGTTAATAACCACCAGGACTGAACTTGTTGACTTGGAGACTTTGATGCGGCCAAGCCGCTCTGACGCGCAGGGGCTCAGCCAAGGGACACTGGGGCCTGTCTTTTCTCCCCCGGAAGAAGCCTGGGGTCGCCACCGACATGTGTCACTTGGGGCTCACCTGGAGCTTGTCGGGGGCAGGGTCGGTGGCAGGCCCTTCCTGTGGGTAGGAAGGTGGGAGGAGGTAGGAGCAGCCACGCGCCCGGGGCCACGGGAGGTGGCTCCGCAGCAGGGCTCCTGTCCTGGGGACGACCTCTGGGTGGAGGCTAACGCGGGGTCTTGGCCATCTGCTGCCCCCGGCCCGGCCCGCCCCGCCCCGCCCTGCTCTCCCTGGGTGCCCGGGACTGCAGCCGGTCTTCACCCCTGCACAGCGCACGCTTTGCCATGCTGTGCACACCCCCAGTGGTCAAGGAGGCTCCTGCTGGTGGCTTAAGGCCCAGGCCAGGTCCTGTCTGTTTGTGGCTGGCAAGACAGGGCAAACTGCTGACAACAGGTGAGAGGGGTGTGGCCAAGGCCCAGCCGCACGGCTGCCAGTTGTGTGCGGTGGGAGAGCCCACTTCCCGCTCCGAGCCTCAGCAAAATCTCACGGGGACAGGCAGGGTCCCGGAGGACCCCTGAGGTTTTGGGGAGGTCCCAGGGCAGATATGGGGACACCATGGTAACTCTGGTGACTCTGAACTTGGAGCACAATTGCTTGGGGACAGTGTGTAATTCTGTTTCCCGGTATTGCCCAGCTCAGACCTCCTATAGCTCAGGGACCAGGTGAATGGGGTGTGGAGGGGGAGGGAGGGGTCTGTTAATGGAAGGAGAAAATCAAACACTAAAGAGAAAGGTTTTCGGCTTCCCTGGTGGCGCAGTGGTTAGGAATCCTCCTGCCAATGCAGAGGACACAGGTTTGAGCCCTGGTCCGGGAAGATCCCACATGCCACGGAGCAACTAAGCCCGTGCACCACAACTACTGAGCCTGCGCTCTAGAGCCCGCGAGCCACAACTACCGAGGCCGTGCGCCAAAAGTACTGAGCCCGCAAGCCACAACTACTGAAGCCCATGCGCTTACAGCCCATGCTCTGCAACAAGAGAAGCCACCTCAATGAGAAGCCCGCGCACTGCAACGAAGACCCAACGCAGCCCAAAAATAAATAAATAAAAATTAAAGAGAAAGCCTTTCCATTCATCAGGAAAGTGCCGCAGCCTCTGATGCAGGTGAACAGAGCCCTCCCCCACCAGGCCGCGCCCCCTCGGCTGCCGGCCCCTCCCCCTCCATCCTCAGACCCTCCAAGTTAACAAGCTCGTGGCCTTTGCAGGTCTGGAAAGCTAACGCAGGGTTTAGCTTTTGCCCTCAGAGGCCATGGGGCAGAGCACCCCGCAGGGCTGGCGTTCCTGGGGGACTCTGGGCTGGGTGAATCAGGGTCTTTTCTGCACGCAGAGTGTGGGGTCCATGCAGGTGCAGCTCTAAAAATGGTCGCCTCACTACTTTCATGTCCCACACGCCCTTCCAGAACCCTCCACTCCCGTGCCGAGAGGTGGAGTCTGTTCCAGCCCTGCGTTTGCGGTGGTCCCCAGGACGCAGCGTGAGGAAGTGATGTTCTGTGACTCCTGACGCTGGCCACAAACAGCGACACCACTGCCACCTGGCTCTGTCTTGGGGATACAGACACCCTCTTCTGCCCAGAGACTGCCCCCACTGGAGCTCACCATCTGCAGTGAGGCCCCTTCACCCGGGCAGGATGCCTCACCCAGTGCCTCGGGCAGCAGAGACCAGCGTCCAGTCCACGCCCAGCCCCGCCCACGGTGCAGATTTGGGAGCAGAATAAACCGCTGTTGTTTCAGGCCACTGAGCTTGGGGTGCTTTGTGATGCAGCAATAGTACCATCAGAACAGGGGGAGCAGGGTGGGGCTGGGCTGCAGCGGCCCAAGCTGCGCCCCAGCTCCCCGGCTCTTCCCCCACTCCCACCCCTCTGGTCCGCATCCTGGAACTGAAGGCGCCGCCTCCCTCTGCCCTCTCTCTTCTCTGCTGCTGTCCAGGCTGCCCGCCTCAGCATCAGATGATGCTCTTTTTGGATTAATTTAGCCCAAATCAGCAAGGGCTCTCCTCATTAGGTTTTAATGAGGAGCTTATTAGCTGGGCGGTTCGGGGAAGGGTATTTGCTCTGTCTGCCCAGGTAATGCTGCTTCAATCCAGCCAAAAGGAAGTTCGGAGACACCCCTGTTCCCCTGTTCCCTTGAAGGTTCAGCAACCCCACCAAGACGAAGGAAGAACAGGGAGCTGGGCACCCACTGGCCACAGTAAGAGGCCTGGCTGCTGGGTCCGGCGTTGCCACTGACCCACTGGCCAATCCCAGTCAACACCCCACCCCACTCCCGGCCTCAGTTTCCACATTTGCGCCCTGACAGAGTTGGGCGAGATGAAGACGACACAGGGAGATATAATCGTTCAGTGCCTGCCACGTGCTGGCCCAAGTAACAGCATTCACCAGCAACAGGAATCCTGCCAACAGCCCAGGGAAGGGGTGCTCGATCTGCCCGGTTACAGGGAGCTGCTGGGAACATCCGTGCACCATTTTTGTGGGACATATGCGTGCGCCTCTCTTGGGTGAGAACCTAGGAGCGGAGCAGCTGGGTCTGGGTCGAGGGCAGGTGTTTCACTTCCCAAAGTGGCTGCCCCGCTTTCCACCCACCGTCAGTGGACGAGCGCTCCA